AATTAAAATTATTAATCAGACTTATAACCATTAAAACCAAATTAACATAACATAACATAACATAAACACTCACGCCTGTCACCCAGAGGGGTAGGCAGAGATTATGGACTTCCATTTGGCACGATCCTGACACACCTCTCTAGCTTCCTCCACATCCATATACCTACGCATACACGCTCGTCGGTTAAAGGTACTCTTGATTTGGCCCATTTTTAATATATCGCCAATTTGGTCGATAAACTTTCGCCTAGGGCGACCCTTCCCGACTATGCCGTTCACCTCTGCAACATAAATTTGCTTTGTCACTCTTTCCTCATTCATTCTTTCTACATGGCCAAACCACCGAAGCATTCCTTTCTTAATCCTGGTCACAACATCATCTGGCAAACCACACTCTCCTCTTATTAAACAATTTCTCACTCTGTCATTCAGCTTCATCCCTAACATACTCCTTAATGACCGCATTTCTACAGCATTTATTCTACTCTCATGCTTCTTCTGCCACACCCAACTTTCCCTACCATACATTAAAGTAGGTACTAACACAGCATTGTGAATTGCCATACGTGCCTTTTTGGACACATTCTGACTTTTCACAATAGAGTGTAGAGCCCCATTCACTCTATACATCATTAAATATAAAAATCAATAATATGACTGCATCTAAGTCATTTGTTTGTTTGTCCTTACACTAATCATATAACAATGACTAATGTTATATGACCTTAACCTTTCATTTCTTGATTGATTGAAACTGTCACAGAGCTAGAATTACCAAAAACATAGTTTTTTTTAACAAATATTTGTTTTTCATGTGACAAGTAACACCTGAATCGATGTACCAAGCGTTAGTATTAATGTCTACAGCCAAAGCTGTTATTAAAGTTCCATTCCACATACTGTCAAAATTTCATTCAGTCACCAGGTTGCAATTAATGTTGACATTTCTGTTTAAATTTTAGTAGGACAGTTTTTGATAATAGGACAAGTTTTTTTTACTAAGAAAACATTTAGGCTTAATGTCTTGGAAGATCGATTTGTGTGTCAATTGTAGGTACACCTTATTCACATCTTTTAAAGTCTCTATGTAAAAGTTTATTGCAATAATTTACTATTAAAGATTTCACTACACAATTTCGGAATTCTATAATCGGAAAACTACCTTACATCAATACGGCCAGAAAATCGTCATTTCATGGACCACTAATATGGCGTAATTATTGATCTAAGTCGCTTGATTATACATGGTTGAGCTATGTTGCAGGTATATTATGGTTGTAGTACGAATGAGTCGACTCGACCGTGGGAGGACCACGCTCTCACATAATACCAGCGTAAAATAGCAGCTCAATACCGCTGTGTTTCGTATGGGGAGTGTAGAGGACCGAAGATCTTTTTACTGCATACGAGGCATTCCATCTTAGTCCTCAGGGGTGACAACGCATTTGTATTTTGATTCTTATTCGAGGATATTTTATTTAAAAAAATCGCAGATCTTCTGAAGATATATCTCCACATTGCTAATTAGAAATACGCATAATTAGAAATGATTTCACTAACGGAAGAAGGAATATGGGAACACGCGCCTTAAGAGTCATCGTAAGATACCTATCATACATTAAGTTCCAAAATATAATTATATATTTTCCTATATTCTACGCCCTGGGCCCATAACTTAATAGGTTAAGAATAAATAACAAAAGGATCAACGTGTAAACTATATATTAACAAAAAATATGGGAGTCTTTGTAATATCTCTGATTTTGTTAGGTAAAAAGTTATGTAGTTAACTATATTTTAGCATGATTCTTAAATTAGAATCTATGTTGAAATTTCTTATCAACAAAATATTGAACACCTGATTGTATGCGAGATTTCGCTACTTGTGGTTGTAGTTGTAACGGCGTGGCGTCGATAACATTCCCGTTTTGTGCTCCAACGTTTCTGTATCAACTTAGGTATGCTGCAATTACGCCTTAAAGATTTGTTGGCAGCGCCTACGTCGTGGTGTAAGTGAAGATAAACAGATGGACATGAATTATATAAAATCATATGAAGCCATTACGAAACGTAAGTTTTTAAAGAAAAACTAAGATGATAAAATTTGATAGTTTTTTTTTAAATATTTAATAATTATATCATTTAATTGGAAGATTTATTTATAACTTTACGTAAAGTTTTTGCTTCAGCAATTATTGATTTAAATAAAATATCGCTGATAAGTGTGAGTTCATAATGTTTTCGATTAATAATAGTCTTACTAGGTGGTAGTGTCTTGTGGTGTTAACAGAAACAATGACAAGAGATGGTATGATTTATCTCTTAAAAGAAGTACAAAACCCTTGAGGTGGACTCTACAAACAGTCATCTTTGTGGTATCTCTCACAGAGCCTTGCGATATAATAGTTGTTAATAAATTAATAGTACATTTTTTTAAAAGAAGGTTTTACTGAAATACTCATAAAGAATAAATAAAGCTTAAATTAAATCAAACCCATCCATTGATTACACTATGAAATTTATATAATATAAAAGCCTGTCGCGAGATTTGTCTGTTTTATATAAGCATTATTTTTTCTTAGAATTACCTACTATGTCAATATCAAGTTACATAATATTGTATTCTTGTTTATGTATACAGGTAAATCTAGCGACAAGCTTTTATATTATATAAATTGTGAATTTGAAATTTATTTTCATTTTTTTGAGCATTTCAATAAAAACATGTTATAAAAATGTGTTTTTTTTTCTATAAATTTATTTTTTATTTGTTATTTATCGTGGACATGTTTTTAACTCTTACTCTACTTAATTTAATATAGTGTGTCATTGTTGATTTTTGATCGCCATCTTAGATCCGACATCTTGATTTTTTATCGCCAGCAGTTGTCCCTTGTCGGTCTCTACAACATTTGTTCGAGCACTACCAAATCCACCTTTGTGCCGAGTTATAACTCCTTAAAATTGGTATGGCGGCCATCTTGTTTTCCGCCATTTTGCATACGCGAACCCGCTAAATCTTAGTATTTAGTCGGGTAGTAGTACATTATATCATCGAAGAGCTGAACGCGGAAGTCAATTTATTCGTATTTTCCTCAGCGAACCCTTTCATTTGCAAATGTTTTATGATGGATGTTATTTTTAAGAGCCAAGTTCTTCTTCTAATTGCTAAAACTAGTGTTAAGTTTTCTAGTACGCTTGCCTTACATACTCTAGCAAGCCATCTGTGAACAAATTAATAACATCTTGCATATTTTTGCCATCTCCTTGATGTATCCATTATTGTGTTTTAGTTTAAAAAATATGGAACGCCATTATAATCGTAATATTAAGCTTTGACGCATTCTGTCCTAATACGAGTAAGCAGAGGTGACGACGCATATACAGCCTTCTTCGTTTAAAGTTGGTTATCTATAATATACCTACATGAAGTGGGGTATTAATGGGCTTCAGTTGCCGATTTCACCACCATCTTGTGGACTATTAGCTTCTAAACTTTAATTATAGCTGCACCATGACTCTACCACGTAAAATATAGCTGCAGCATGGCTTTACCACGTAAAATATAACTGCAGCATGGCTCTATCACGTAAAGCTATAATGATGATGATGATGATGAGACTTGTTAAAGAATTTATTCTGTAAGACCACAAGTAAAATTATTATTATACAAGCCTTAATAGTAAAATTATTATTATTAGCGAGCAGCTTACTGCTAGTATACCTGTATCTGTGCTGGAGTTTTAAAATAATCTAACACTAGTAGTAAAGAGAAATATTCATTGTTTACTTCTTGTATTAATTTATTTTGTTTGATAAAATATTTTTTCATTAAAAAGCTGTTAAATTACTTTAGTTTGATATTTCATTTGTAGTCTGTAAAGGAACAATAAACTGTTTTAATATCTATTTTGTAATTATATTTCCCTTTATTTTATGGCACCCATTATTTACTGTTCATTGTAAAAATAAAAACTTATTAAAACATTACAATGCAAAAATACAAAATAGAAGACAAGGAGATAATCGCTTAAGCCTATATCTTGTTCGTGAACCATAGCAGGCGGTGTCCGTGGCGCCACTTCCAGTTCGCCCACGCATCGCACGCATCGCGGGCTTTCACAAGCACCGTACCACTACATAGGTACTCCCTATCGCGGCTTATGCACGTCGCCATCGACCAACACGTCCCTTGAACGATTTATTTGCCATCGTTCATTTCTTTGTTTCTCCCACAGTCTTATCATGCTGCTTATTAATAAAATTTAATATCTTTTGTGAGTTGCGAAATCCTTTTAATAAATTCTGTTATCGGATTTCGATTTATAAGCTTCTGTATTGATCAAGAGATTAACAATACGTCCACGTTTATAAATTTCTAGTCTTTAGCAACAAATATGCCTTGTGTACTATTTATAGATGAAAAAATTTACGGCTGCTTCTACTGGGAATATAATTTTGAAGACGAGCATTTTTAGCAATATGTTAGGTGTTATTTTTTTTCAATATAAATTTTGTTATCTTGTAACTATTCATAGCAACGTAGTTACATACATAAATAGCTATAGGACAGATTATATGTGTCAAGATGGGTTCCCTTATTTCTCACGGGATGTTCCGCGTGACAGCCTTCAGTCACTGCCGGCGGGCTGCGCGAGCGCACGCGTTTGGTACTATACATTTTATAGTCTATTCGGGGCTACGTTTGTTTACTACACGATCGCATCGCGCGAGCGTAAAAATAAACACTGCGACGTCGGATTGAGTTTTTGCTGTATTGAATAAAATTCTCATAATTTCTTGCATACTAAAACGGTTCATATCGACAAATTAAATATTCCATTTGATGACTTTCTGTTGGTAAGATGTCAACGCTTTGCCCGTTAAATAAGCTGTTGCCGCCGTTTTATAAGCTTCTGGGGACATATATTATCTGCATAATGTGACACACACATTTGTATTAATCGCATTTAATCGTGTCCAACCAGCGATTTAACGACATGAACCCATCAATAGTTATTGTTTGTGTTATCGCTCTGGCGATCGTCGTCGGAGGCGAAATCCGGATCCGCGGCAAAGTAAGAAAAAGGCACACTGCTCACAGGAGGCATCGAGCCATTCTGCCGCCTTGCAACTTTAATGATACCATTATCGAAGACGAGTGGTCCTTGATGGAAGCGATAGGAGACTCTGAGTTTATTTTTACGGCAAAAGTTTTAAGCGTTAAAAAGCTTAAATCGAGAGATGGTATTCGAGTGAAAAAATCAAATTTATACAGGTTGCATTTACGTCGCGTTTTGAAAGGCGACCTAGACGAGTTTAGGACATTTGTCAAATCTGATGGACTTGTGGGGGATACGTTGAGTGGTTCGATTTTGACGGTAGAGCGTCCAAGAGCGCAAGATACTTGTGCTCCAGCTCCGAGACCGCGCCTTTCTGCAATATTCTTAAGTGACGGTGCATTTGCTGGGCCTGAGAAAGGACCTACGCCGCGTTTGCGCCTGTTGACAGATCCGGTTCCTCTTACACTTTATCACTTGGATAGAATCAACGCCGCAGTCAAAGGTAATTAAAAAAAAATTTTATTAACCGAGATTATAAGTTGTTTTGTCAAAATATATAATTTAATACAGGTAAACACTCAATAACTCTTTACTTTATCCAAGTAATTTAATTCAAAATTACTTCTTTATTGAAGTTGTAACGAACAAGTACACAGTAAAATTGTTTACCAAGTACGTTCTACGAGGTTTCGAATGCTAGCCGGAGCTTCGTGGAAATTATAATAACGAGTGGGTGTTATATCCATAATGCACACCGCAAAGGCATCGGGATGTGGTTTTGATCGACATCTCGACAACTGTTCGTTAACTTAATGGAGCGAATGCGCTCATGCGTTTGTGCCCCGTCCAAAGCCGACGCTACGTGTCTACGGATCAATCACCGGGTTGGCGTTTAAGTGAAGCCTACGCTTTATTCTATTTAGTAAATATTAAACAATGATAAAGAGTGAGAGATGTTTTGTGATATATCTTATCAACTTATATTTTTAAAATAGTTCTGAACTTTTACAGAATAAGACCTGAATGAGTTCTCTCTGTTTAAGAGCAATGTGAGATGCTTATGCATGGCATGTCGCAAAATTTGACAGAATGGAAATGTCACAAGTATCTTGAGATTTCCGATAGATAGCGGAAGAATCTTCTTTAAATCTATACACCTATACATAAAAATATATGTTTTTTTTAAAGGATAGGGTGATAAACGAGCACACGGTCCACGTGATGGTAAGTGGTTGCTGTGACCCATAGACATCTATATTTATCCTCAATAAAGAATCAAAATGCAGATGCGTCGTCACCCGTGAGGACTAAGATGGAATGCCTCTTTTCTAGTAAAATGTGTCGCCTGTTCTCTACCCTCACCATACGAAACACAGCAGTGTCAAGCTGCCATTTTACGCTGGTATTCTGTGAGAGCGTGGTCCTTCCCCGGTCGAGCCGACCCATTTGTGCTACAACTATACTACTAATATAGCTGCAGCATGGCTCTACACGTGGTAACCACGTTTGTATGTATAGATATGATATAGTATGTCTATAATATCGAAATAGCTCGTAGGGCTATTTGCATTTTATTAAGACATGAATAACAAATTTTAAAATTTTTGTCTTTATTGATGAAACTTCGCGGACAGATAATGAGCATAGAGTGATCTAGGCTACATTTTATCCCTAAGCATGCAAAATTATTTTCGAGGTTTTGACAATCTGATAAGATAAATGGTTTTTGGTGATGATCTCATATTAAAATTACCATTTAAGAATATCGAAAGATTTTTCACCATAGATTACCTCATTTTTTTATCAGCCGTTATCAAAAAGATGCTGCTACCCATCTCCTGGTCCAGATTTCCTCTTTAATCTCTTACTACACCCACGGGATGATATGGGGTAGTGCATATTCTTACACCGCCACTAAACTTATCATTTTTACCACTATACTTTACTTATTTACTATAAGAGATATAAAAAAAGTTACAACCAAAACTTTTTGGTCTCTAATTTTAAACAAAAAGGTCCTTAAACTTTATTTTCTATGTTTTAAAGTTTTGATTCAAAATCGATTTTAAAACTCTTTTAATTCAACGCCAGTTTAGAATAAAGTTCTGAGTGTTAAAGAAAAAGGTGATAAGACATTTTTTACGTAAAATTTTCTGTTTGAACCATTTTCGCATATCTCACATAGTTTCTTAAATAGTGACAAAATATCCGTGGTTAAAGAGGTTCGATCATTAAATTCTAGTCTAAAGATGATCTGCAAATTTTCTACGCAGACGAAGTCGGGGGTAAATGCTAGTTCATGTTCTACGTGGTAGAGCCATGCTGCAGCTATATTAGTAGGGTAGTTGTAGCACGAATGGGTCGGCTCGGAATGCCAACGTGAAATAGCAGTTTAACAATGCTTTGTTTCGTATGGTGAGTATAAAGAACCGGAGAACCTTTTAACTGGAATACAGGCATTCCATCTTAGTCCTCACGGGTGACAACGCATCTGCATTTTGGTTAGCAAACGACGATATATGTGGATGTCTATGGACCACAGCAACCACTTACCATCAGGTGGACTGCGGGCTCGTTTGTCACCGTTCTTCTATTGCCTGCATGGTGCATTATAGTCTTAAAATTCCAAAAAGATTTTAATTTAATGTATCTACTACTGTTGCAATAAAATTGTGTGAAATATATTTGCAGAAATATCTTTGTACTGATTGTCCGTTTTATCTCCACAACTAAACCGCGCAAGAAAATCTCTCGCGGCTGCAATATAACATGCCCGGTAATCCGTCAGCGTATCTAATATGGCTTACTTCGTAAAATATTAACAGTGTGCTAGTCATAATTTTTAATTACATTTTCCGTGATATGGTAGAGTATATTTTAGGATACGCAGGTGGAGATTTATGTCTTTAATATGATCGCTATGTTTCATCTATTTTTTATTGAACTTTATATGCTAATAAAAAATATGGAACGTTTCACACATACGGATATGGATAGTAAATTTTTAGTAAATCGAAATCTAAAAGTACCTTTTCAATAAAGTTAAAATTATTTCAAAAGCTATAAATATTAGTAATTTTAATATCACTGGTATTCGTATTTATAATATTACACAATTTTTTACTTAGGAATCAATCAGAAACTATTAAATTCCCTTGAGATATTAGATAGATATAGTTTTACAACGCATAAACACAGAGGCACTCTTTCCTTTTACCGGTGTCCGACGTAGACCTTCGGGATAGGATAAATTTCGGACTTTCAACAGTTTTATCAAGTTTAATTTAAATTCAGTTTGCAGTGTTTCTATTTGCCATATACGAGTACATAAACAGTTCATTACAGGCTCTTCTATGATAGAGAAGATTCAACTTAATCGCCTCGCTGACTGGAATTTGCAGTACTGACACACCATGCTAGGTATATACCTCTAGATGTATAGGCACCTCACGGATTGCTAGGCAAAGTCAGTTGTCGAATATTATAGATTAATAAGAAGAAAGTATATATTTTGAACCTGATGAGATAATATTTGACGCAATTGCCACGTTCGCTTTGTTGGCAGACTGCAAATTGCAGTAAGACGCCTTACGGATAGAAAAGTATATATAAATGGACTACATGTTTTTAAGAAACTTCCTTTGCACGCTTATTAGTTTGCTTGGAGACGCGACTAGGTAAAAGATTCTCCTATGTCATCACCAGGTATTAAGCATTTTCGCAGTTATTTGTTTATTTAATGGGGCATATACCATCTGTAAGAGTATTACAACTTAAAGTAGTGCTATAGGTTTTAGAAGTATTAGTTTTTAGACAATAATCGACGATAATATGTTTTATATATATATATATATATATATATATATATATATATATATATATATATATATTTAGTCACCAAAGTAGGGGATAAATAACCTGATTGTAATTAAATGAAGATGGTGAATAAAAATTTTGATTATGTATACATATTAGTGATCTCCTATCGCTCTAAATTCGACCGTAATTCATAAAATTTTTAGGTTTGTGTATAAAGCAAGCTGCATTTTACTTTAAACTCTTCCTTAATATATAAAACACAGATATCTAATACACAAAATATAAAATAAACGCTTTTTTACCCTCTCCACACATAATTGAAAAAGAAACATTTGGAATTACACAAAATTTACAGCTTATTCAGTCAGTCTGTCATAAATTATTTGTTGACAACTTTTTTAAATTCTTTGCCGACAATTTCTACTCTATGCGACTTTTTTTTTATAGGATAAGGGTGACAAAGGAGCACATAGTCCACCTGATGATAAGTGGTTGCTGCGGCCCATAGACATCTACATCTATCCTCGATTACAAATCAAAATGCAGATGCGTTATCACCCGTGAGGATTAATATGGAATTACTAATTTACCACGTGTAGACTGTGTTTGGCCATACATTATTAAGCGCTTTTTTTACGTGGTAGAGCCATGCTGCAGCTATATTATTGGTATGGTTGTAGCACGAATGGGTCGGCTCGACCGGGAAGGACCACGCTCTCACAGAATACTAGCGTAAAATAGCAGCTTAACGCTGCTGGGTTTCGTATGGTGAGTGTAGAGAACCGGAGACCCTTTTTACTGGAAATGAGGCGTCCATCTTAGTCCTCACGGGTGACAACGCATCTGTATTTTGATTCGTACTCGAGGAAAGATGTAGATGTCTATGGGCCACAACAACCGCTTACAATCAGGCGGAACGTGAGCTCGTTTGTCCTTATCTTTAAAAAATCTAGTTTAGATTAAAACACACTTTTCCCCAAACCGTTTAGACCAGTAGTTTTGTGTCGCAAAAATGACTCTATGAGTCCCCCATTGCGACGATATACTCAAACTAGATGTAAGTACAATACTGGTGATAGCCGAGCACTCAAGATTTTTTATAAGCGGGACTCATCGGAAACACACGCTGCGAGTGGTCGTGCAAAGGGTTTTTTTGTAATCCTGTTGTTATATCACTGGAGCTTTGGGATTCGTTTTTTGCGTTACTTTTTGTATTAATTTTAAATACATTTCACTACCAAAGCTGGAAAACTACGTTAGAAGACTTTTAATTGCATTTTTATGAGTAGCTTTAAAGATAATCAAAGGTTGTACATAATTGATGTTTTAGTTATTTAGGTTTAGGTTTTACTCAATCGTAAGGTTAAGGTCACATCAACTAAAAAGCGTAGTAAACACTTTATATATAGTAAGTTACTACCTTAATTCTCTGTGAAGAAAAGTGTCAAACTGTTTTAAAATGTGATTTGAATCTAGGCGCACTATATCGCAGGCCGGTAGGCCGGATGACCTGCGGTTACCGGAGCTACATTTCATCACAGGTCATCCGGTCGGAGATATTTAGTAGCAGGTCGCTAGTTTGTTATATTTCTGTCAGCTCGGCGGTAATTGGGTTACTAGTGTATTAAAAAATCTAAGATGTCTACTAATACGTCAGAAAGTAATATTTGAACATTACAATGACTACTTGC